AAAGAATCTAGCTCTTGGCTATGTTTTTACAGATTATAATATTAAAAGAAAATAATGTTTATAAAATAAACATTTTTTTGGTAAATCTGAAAAAAAAAATGAGCATAATACTGTAATGGGGAGTCCTGTGGTGATTCCTAATAGTTGTTTTTGTAATAAGATATTTAAAATTGTGTGGCAAAGGAAGATTCCTTGTTCTAGTGAAGAAATCCCTGTCTTCCCTTACTTCTCTCACAGTTTTAAACATGAATCCCGATTTTCTATAGTGGTTACCCCTGCCCCCTTCGTCCCTTTTCTTTTTAAACAACAAAAGGCCCCTGAACTTCTACTAGTTTTTGTTCAGGAAACCAATTTTAAGTGACTTTAAGTTAGAGTTTTCATGTATTCTGCAAATAGTTGCTGAGTCTTACTGTGTGTTGGGCCCTGTGCTTGATCTAGGGAGTATCAGGTATAGATTCTACCTTACACCTGACCTCAGGAGGCTTGTGGTCTTGTGGAAGACCACGTGTTCTTCCACACGTGTGGAAGAGACGTGTTCATGAGTTCTTACAGTTACATCAATATGTGCAAAGTGTGATAAGAAGATGGAAACATTTTATTGGTAGAGTTGAGAGGCTGGGGAAAAGCAGGAAAACCTCAGACAGGGGTTAGGCTTTGAGCAGGGCCTGGAAAGGTGGGCAGGAGGTTGACAGAGGTGAGAGGTGCCTACCCAATGACTCAGGCAGGCTTTGGGGAGGCAGGCAAATGTCACGCGCCTTTGGGGACCAGCGAATTATCCAGTTTGGCTGGTAAACACTAGCATAGGGATAGAGGAGGGCTTAAGCTACAAAGACCTAGCACTTTTTTTTTTTTTTGAGTTGAGTATTAGCCCCTGAAGGTTTTTGAGATGGAGAATAACTTGGTGAGGTCAGAATATTAGCAGTATTTACCTGTTGGCTGCTTTGAGAGAGACAGGAAGGAGTCTAAGGCAGCAGTTCTCGTGAGAAGAAATTCTTGGCTGAGGATGCTGGTGGGTGAGCACAGGGAGGAAAAGACATGAGCTGAATTCATGGAACTTGTTCATGGTATGGACAGAACGCCTAGAAGAGACTCAAAGATTCTGTGTGTGTGTGTGTGTGTGTGTGTGTGTGTGTGTATGCATATGTGTGTACCAGTTGAAAATGGATTTGACTCTCTTGCATCCAAGATGAGCCCTGACTAGGAATCCTGATGATGGAAAGCAGCCATTCTGTAGGGTGCCCTGAGGGCAGAAGCCGCTTTCTCCATCTGCCTCTTCACTGCCAGGCAGCACATGCTCAAGAAATGCCTGTAGAAGGGATGAATATTGTAGATTTAGTTGGACACATAAGTGAGTTTACCCTTGGGATGGGACTAACAAGTGATGAAGGGCCAAGCACAGCTAGGTTTGAAGCCAGACTCGGCCACTCCTGACTGATCCTGAGCAAGCTGCTACACCTTTCTGTTTCCTTGTGTACAGAATAGAGGGTAAGAACACCATCTGTTGGGATATAATATGATTATTCATATTGACTGAATGAATTGGTGTACATGAGACATCTAAGCCTGTACCTGGAATACATCTGAGATAAATGCCCCTCAGACATTGGCTGCTGTTACTCACAGGGAGTGTAGATGTGGGCCTGATTGCCAGCAAAGTAATGAGGAGTTGGGCTGGGGGTTAGTAGCTTTGGGAATGCCTGACAGCCTTGGCCGAGAGATAGGAGAGGGGTTGGGAGTGAGGCAGTTTAGACAGAGTGCCCAGTGGGGAAGGGCAAGGAAGAACGGTAAAGGAGCAAGGACCGGGTTGGAGAGGCAGGAGGGGACCCTGTAGAAGAGTTCAATGTCAGCTATCCCAGGCAGAAGAATGTTTCAGGATGGAAGGGAAGTAAAAAGTATCAAAATCAGGGGCGTCTGGGTGGCTCAGGTCATGATCTCGTGGTTCACCAGTTCGAGCCCCGCATCGGGCTTTCTGCTGACAGCTCTGAGGCTGGAGCCTGCCTCACACTCTGTGTCTCCCTCTCTCTCTGTCCCTCCCCCACTCATACTCTGTCTCTCTCTCTCTCTCAAAAATAAGTAGCACATTAAAAAAAAAAAATTTAAAAAGTGTCAAAATCATAGAGCTCAGAGAGGGCAAGAACTGAGCCTGGACATTTGAGTTCATTTGTTCAGGCAGACATCATTAGAAGCCGTTGCTAGAGAACAGAAGCTGAGTTACCTGTGTTTACCGAGCGTCTCAGAAGATTCTGTCAGATAAGGAAGTATCAGAGGCAGAGATTAAAGGCCAAATTTCTAAAGTTGCTTGAAGACAATATGGCTTTTTTAAAGCTTATTTATTTTGAGAGAGAGAGAGAGAGAGAGAGAGAGACAGTGAGCTGTGGGGCCTGAACCCACAAACCATGAGATCATGACCCACTCTGAAATCAAGAGTCGGATGCTTAACTGACTTAGCCACCCAAGTGCCCCCACTATGGCTTTTTAAGTTTGTTCTAGCAAATGGCTAGGACGGGGTACAAAGGCCACTGTACTTCACAGGTTCTTCTCGTCCTCTATGAGAATAGGCCCCCTGGGGGTGTGCAGTGCTCATTCTGCAAGGTCCTACATGGAAAGCACTGGTATGGTGGCATATATAACAATAATAAGAGAATAAAATGTAATGTATAATGTAATAAATAAATACTAGTAAGCTAATTACAATGAATGCCGTGAGATACGTTGTAACAGACACTTAATGAGTACTTATTATGAACCAGCAGCATTATAAGTGCTTTGCACGTATGATCTCATTTAATCACCAGCAGCTCTGAGGTACAGGTGTTGTTGACCTTATTTTATAACCGAGAGGGGCTGGGTAATGTGCACAGGGTCACATGGTTGGTAAGTGCGTGCTGGGGCCGGGATTACACACCCGGCAGTGTGGTTACAGAGCATGTGCTGTTAGCAGCCACACTAGGCTGCTTCCTTTTATTTTGGAAGGCAGATGGCGTTAGGTGTCCTGCCTGATGAACAGGAGGTCTAGAAAGAGGAACTGTGGCCCTGAAGGAAGGGGCTGGCGGGAGTGGGGGAGCGCTGGTTCGGAGAGGATGGGCAAGACTAGGATCAGAAACTCAGGGAGATGGTCAGTGTGGAAACTGACCTACTTGCTCTCAGGGAGGGGAGAAGGAGGACTGGCAAAAATCCAGAGGAAGAGAGGCAAGAGATTTTATGGGACCAGGAGAAAGATAAGACATTTTCAGAGATATTTTGAGTTGGTGAGGGAGACCACCATCCATCTGGAGAATTTTGCAGTGGGTTTTTAAGAATTGCTTCCCACTGGTAATTTGATTAAACCTAGTCCTATGGGAGAAAGGGGTTGAGGGGGAGCAGTGTTAGGGTGTGAGGTTCATTGATTGACCTTGACAGCTTTCCAAGGCACCCTTTAGTGGAGCCGTGAAACTAACACCATCCAAGGAGAATGACTGTATTTTGGTCACCTGCTACTGCTTTGATTTGCTTCCAGAAGTGGAGTTGAATGGCAGTAGGAGGTTGAGGAAAGAGTCATGTTGTCTTTTTTGTGACAAGATGTTCTGAAGATGTCATGTGAAGATGTCTCAGATTTCAGGAGGAAGAAAAACCCAAAGGTGGAAGAAACAAAGAATGAAGGAAGCAGAGGCATTTTGAACTCGAGAGCTGCTGAGGTGTGGATGACACTGAGGAGTGCCTGGCTCAGACCTTACAATTTTCTAGAAACCAGATATGTCGTTTAGGATAGTGCTTCTCAAACTATCTGTAGCGAGGAGCTATTTTTGATATTGTTCTAAAGCTGTGGACTGTTTATATTTTGGCAAATATCAACAGTGAATTAGAAAAAATAAATTACAAATCATAGGGAATACAAACCCAATTTGTTGTCTATTATTAGATTCAACAGACTCTGTGAAATTGCTAAAAATAAGTTGCTAAGTGCTTCTAATTTCTGAAATTAGCTTGTCATGGACTTCTTACAGGCTCAGAACAAACATAGGCTCGTAGCTGACAGTGGGTTTCACTTTGTGTATGTTGTCTGACCGAGAATTTAGACACCAGGCAGATGGTTCACAGGGTTCCAGTTCCCCAAGCTCTTTCCAGATTATCCAGCCTGGTGCATGGAATATACTAGACACTCAACAAGTAAACACTTGTTAAACAGCCCCTTTAAGAGATGATTTTGAAATGTGTGGGTGGCTCAGTCGGTTAAGCACCTGACTTCAGTTCAGGTCATGATCTCGCAGTTTGCAAGTTCAAGCCCTGCATTGGCCTCTGTGTTATTAGTGCAGAGCCTGCTTCGGATCCTGTGTCTCCCTCTCTCTTTGCCTCTCCCCCACTCTCTCTCAAAAATAAACATTAAAAAAAAATTTTTTTTTAACATTTATGTATTTTTGAGACAGAGAGAGAGCATGAACAGGGGAGGGTCAGAGAAAGAGGGAGACACAGAATCTGAAACAGGCTCCAGGCTCTGAGCTGTCAGCACAGAGCCCGATGCGGGGCTCGAACCCACGGACCGCGAGATCCGTATTCTGCTGAATTTGTGGGGCCCCTGGGTGGCTCAGTCGGTCAAGCTCCCACCTCTTGATTTCAGCTCAGGTCATGATCTCAGGGTTGTGAGATCGAGCCCTGTGTCAGGCTCAGCTTGGAGTGTGGAACCTGCTTGGGATTCTCTCTCTGTCCCCCTCTCTCTCTGCTCCTCCCCTGCTGTGTCCTCTCTCTGTCTCAAAATAATAAACTTAAAAAAAAAAAAAGCTGATTTTTATATGCAGTATAAAATTTGAATAGTTTGAATGCAAGTCTTTCAAAAATAAGGTAACTAAAATTTGTTGATCTGGTGGTAGGCAGCATTTTAAAGCAAAGTGCTCCTTCCCTTGTTTTGCAGTTTACAAAAAGCACATCTTTGTAGATTTCAAGAAACCTTAGTTACCAGAAAGCCATGGTTTGTTCCTCACGTGTGTACGCACTAACCTCAGCCACAGTTCATCTTTTGTCTCTAGGTCGTGTCAGCCGCTAAGGTTTGTGGGGCTGCTGCTGAGTCGCCATCAGTGAAAAGGCTCCACCTGCTTGTTGCTGATAAAGATTTTTCTTTTAAAGCTGGCCAGTGGTAAGTGGCTTCTCTCTTTCCTTGGTGTTTTGTGTTCAAGGAGTTGCCATCAAATAGCAGGGCTTAGTTTTTCTTCTGGAAAGGACTACATTGGCTGGCTGTTTCTCCTGAGCAGTAGGAATTCTAGACCATCCCCGTTCAAGGGGAGCCTCCTTTTGGCATGGAGAGAGAATCTGATTCATTTCCTTGCCTCGGATCTCACCTTGGTTTTGAGCCCTTGACCTTCTCAGTCATGTATGAAAATTGCTGCCTTGAGTTTTGTAGATTGAAACAAAGCAGTTAGTTCTGAGCCAGGGACCTGACATCTCTGATAATTATGCTCTTCAGGAATGGTCGCTATAATAGAATGCACTGGAATAATCTAATCTCCTTGAGTTATTTGTTGCTGGAGATTGATACATTTTAAAAATTTAGCCTTTGTGTCAAATACAGAGTAAACACAGCAGTCTGAAAAGGAGAATACCCAGTTATGTCACAGAGCTGACCACCTTCTTGACTGAATTCCCGTATCACTTGTCTGAGTTGAGTTTAAGTATTTTGCTGAATTTATTACCAGGATCCCCCAGCCAGGCCCAGCCTGCATCACACTCCTGACTCTGTCCGATTTGACACCAAGGACCAGTCAGAATACAGACAGGGTGGACAGCCCAGCTGTCCCACCGTTCCTGTGAATGGCCTCCCTGAGTTGCAATTCAAGTTGAATTGTAAATAAAGCAACTTGTATTTCCTTAGGAAAGGTGTGTTTGGGTGTATGTTTCCTTTATTTAAATAAAGCATTCATTTCTAAGTGAATTTCTGGCATGTCAATCTTGGTAGTCTTTCTTAGGAGTCACTTGACTAATTTTGGCAGTCCATCTGGAAATGTGGTTTTGTTAGAAGGAGGATGTGTGATAATAGCAAGTGTGCTAATAGCAAGAGTTAGCAGTCTTGTGTTCATAGTTTGCCTTTGAATTTAGAACTAGAAAACAAGATGCTGATTGCCATAATTTGCGTTTGTGAGGCAATTTACTGCAATCTTAGCACATGTTCGGTGATGCATATTAAATGCATTTGGGCTGTTTTAGGGGGGCGGGCAACATTTTTACCCTTCAAAAATAGTTAAGCAGTTATTACATTGAAAAGTGGAGACTTTAATTGTGATGATCTGTCTTTCCATATTCCCCTTTCCGTGGAAGTGTTTGGGTCCTGCGCACAGCATTGTCTCTGTGTCTTCAACATCGAATTGCACCAAGACTCCCGATTAGAGAAGCCTGTGTGTTGGTTTGTAATGCTGCGACCTTGATGTACCTGCACATGTATTAGCACTTGCAACTGTAGTCACCTGATAAGAAAAATACCATCATTCCCTAGTGATATGTGTAGAAATAGGATTCCCTTGTGATCCTCAAGATAAAATCTTTCAAGTTTGGTGTTCTATGTCCCATACCAATGAATGGATTTGGTAATCTCACTGATGTCAGAATTGGTTTTATAATGTGCCCAGACAGACTCCTGTTTCAGAGGACAGACATAGGGGTGGTCATCTCCGACTATTTAGTATTGATCTTTCCCTGTCATGGGGCCATCAGCACTCATTCCCATCATCTGAACCTTAGATTGCTCGCTTGGGGCATCCAGGTGGCTCAGTCGGTTGAGCGTCCGACTTCGGCCCAGGTCATGATCTTATAGTTTGTGAGTTCGAGCCCCGTGTCAGGCTCTGGGCTGATAGCTCAGACCCTGGAGCCTGCTTTGGATTCTGTGTCTCCCTCTCTCTCTGCCCCTCCCCGCCTCGCACTCTCTCTCTCAAAAATAAATAAACATTAAAAACAATTAAAAAATAAAATAAAACATTTCTCCCTTACTACTGACTTACTGTATGGTTCTGGAGGTTGTAAATTTCTTTGGATATTTTATTTCTTGGTTACAGAATGGCCATTTGCTTAGGTTGGTGATGCCTGTGTCTTCGGTGCTGTTGCTGGGATGGCATGTGCTCTGTGCTCTCTTAGATCAGCAGCTTGGTAGTAACCTCCATGTGGCATTTTGGGGAAGAGGGCAAGGATCTAGGAGAGAGGGAGTGTGGGCGTGGCTGCCATGCAGTCTGTGAAGTTACGATTATCCGAGTGGAGTACTGCTAGAGATAAGGTAGAGGATTGCCCCTGGGCTTATCTTTGGGGTCAGAGATTGGGTCACGATGGATCCCACGTCTCTGAATTCTTGACCACTGGCCTCCTCTGATGCCTGCCAAACAGGGACGCTCTAGACCTGCCTTTAAATAAATAAATGAATGCTCTGGAGCTTTGGGCACAGGTCTCCAGGTAGACACTTTAATGTAGACCAGAGATCAGCCGCTGGGGCTCTTCTGTGCTACACTGTGTTCTTGTTGGACCTTCCAGAGGGGACTAATTCCTTTTGGGAAACCAGTTCCAAGAACTCAAGTAATCCAATCTAAAGAGAAGGGCCAAAAGAGGGCACTCCCTCAAAACCACTGCTCACCGGAGCAGGACTAAACCTTTTCGGCTTCTGTCTATAGTAGATCTACTGCCTAGTAGCTAGGTGAGTCCCATTCTTGACCTTCTTAAAAGTCCTCCTTCCTGATGGTAGAAAGATGGGGATTCTCTCTTGGGGCTGGAGTGTGCCACCAACGGTCTCCGTGTCACGTGTGAGTGCCTGAAGTTGGCAGAGTCAGTGTTCCTTGTGGCACTCACTGCTGTGGGCCGGGTCCGTCCTCTGAGGGAGGCTGTATCGCAGCGTCACATGCCTACTGCTCTGGAGACCACGTGATTCACATGCTGGCTTTTCTAGCTCTGTGATGTGGGTAGTTCCTTCTTTCTCTGGGCTTCAGTTTCCATGTCTTTAAAGAGGGAATAGTAATATTCCTATGTCTTGGGATATGTCAGGTATTTAATACAATGCCTCATGTTTAACTTTATTAGTTTGTTTTTGCTTTTTGTTATAGCCAGTGTTTCAGTCAGTTAGATTATCTATCTGTGTTGGTGAGGCCCAGGGGACAGATTCCAATTCTTTGTTCCCTGGCTGGTTTCCCTGCTGTTGTTCGATAGAGCAGCAGGCCAAGTAGGAGTAGGTAAGTGTGCATCTCCACTATGATGATGCCCCTCCTGCCACAGTCAGTACTCATTCCACGCTTGGGCTTGCAAGGACCAAGGGAAAGCAAGGCCAAAGCATTTTAGGAAAGAGAAAGGTGTCTGTGACTTCATATAAGGTAACAAAAGTTTTCATGCTTGAAAGTGACTAAGTGAAGGACACGGACACCAAGAAGAAACAGATGAGAGGAGTGAGGTTAGAGAAATAAGACTACACCCCACCCCTCTAGCAGGGCTGCTGCCTTGTAGACAGTATAGAACCTAAATGGCAGTGTTTGGCAGCCCTGACTCTTACATGACCACACATAGAAAGTGCTCCATTCCTTGGTGTCATTGTTCAGACTGTGTCTTTGCCCACGCTTGTCTGGTGAGTGCTGTGTGTCTTTTAAGACTCCTCTGAAGTCTTTGTTAATCCCTCCACCCCTGGTAGAATTGACTACTTCTTCCGTTACGCGCCCCCACCCCCACCCCCCGCCAAACAGTTTTAAAAAATAAAATAGTGGCTTTATTAGTATTTTCCTGATAAAAACAAGATCACGTATGTTGGAACTAAGAAGAAATCTATGCTAAGTGCAGGTACTTCCAGAGAGGCCTTAAATGACGAGCATTTTATCTCTCCCAAGCAGATTTTCTCATAGCCCATGTAATTATGTTTATCTGTTGATTTTCCTCCCATTAGGGTGAGTTTATTGAGGGCAGGAATCAAGACATACTTGCATCTTTACATCCAACACTGGCCACAGTGCCTGTACATGGTAAGCAGGTGCTGTCTGTGGTGTTTGCACAAGGGATGAGGGAGGGGCTCCAAGTACTCAAGCTGAGGACTAAAGAGTTTTAGGACCTCATGGTGAAGCATTGACATTTGGTCACAGTTTGCGTGCCAGGTATGTGCAGGGCACTGGGGCTGCACCTGTGGGCAGGACAGGGCTTCCTGGTGTGTCACAGTTGGATATGGACATGTGGCTTCACTACATAAAGAATTAGGCTCTTTCTCCCAGTTCTTCTATACTTGCTCATATAGAGTAGAGTAGGTGCCTCAACTCTTGGCTTCAAGAATGCTAATCTTGGAAAGGGCGTGTTTTATGAAATAATGTATTGTGCATATTCTCTTAAATCCGTTCAGATAAAGTTTTTATGTCATTTGAATTCTATAGTATTTAATGAAGGAGTCCCTTTTTAAAAAGATTGGTTTCCAAAGTTACTAGAGGATTCCCTGTCATTCATCTGAGAGAATGGTCTGTATCAACATCGAGCAGCAGAGGGCGCTGTAGTTCAGGAGATGAAGCAGCAAACCTAGCTCATTGATTTACTTATTGTTTTGAACATGGAAGCTGTGGAGATAACTATTAAACCTCTTCTCTGAAAGCAAGCAACAACTGTATTAATAAATATTAACTACAATCTTTAGATTTATATCTTGCCTGAAATGAAGAGGAAATAAAAGTATTGATGGGAAAGAATCAAGTGAATAGAGAAAAAAATAGGCTAGGGACTTTTTCTGGAGCACTTCCAATCCAGTACTGGTTTTTAACGATTATAAAAAATGTCCGGATATTTAAGGCCAGAGATCAGAAGAGAACATATTTTAAGGTCATAGATCATATCAGTAGAGAACATAGTGTACCTTTCATGTAAGCCTACTGGTAGGAAAATAACTGGGGGAATAATGCTACTTTTGCTCTTTGAGGGCTGAGAAACTTCTAGATTAGATGTTTGTTTTCTAGACATTGGGATGCGAATTTTTTTTTGGTTCCAGGTTCTAAGAAATTTTTCTTTCCTTGGTATGTAACTAGCTTTGTTGTATTGCCTAGAAGCCTCACCAAAAAAGGTTTTCTATGGCATAGAAGTATCTAAGGCTTAAAACTTGGAAGAGTTCTAGACTATAGCAGTATGGTTAGAAGAAAAGACAACATAAGATTTTTGGAACTTAGAAGGTCACATCAGCATTTTAATTTGTCAAATGCCAGTGAAAGAATTTTTGTTGCTCTTTTTTTTTTTTTTTAACACTTTTAAAAAACTGGCTTATTGGGATATACTCTACATATCATAAAATTCACCCATTTAAAGTATACAATTCAGAGGTACCTGGGTGTTTCAGTTGGTTAAATGTCCGACTCTTGATTTTGGCTCAGATCATGATCTCACGGTTTGTGAGATCGAGTCCCACTTTGGGTTTGGCATTGACAGTGCGGAGCCTGCTTAGGATTCTGTCTTTTCTCTCCTTCTGCCCTTCTGCTACTTGCATGTGCACGTGCTAGCTCTCTCTCTCTCTCTCTCTCTCTCTCTCTCAAGATGAATAAACTTAAAAAAAGTACTCTTTAAAGTGTACAATTCAGTGGTTTGTACTACATTCACAGAACTGTGCAGCCATCAACAGAACAAAATTTTACAACATTCTCATCATCCCCAAAAGAAACCCTATACTGCTTATCATTCACTCCCCATCCTCACCTGCTTAACTGCTCTACTTTCTGTCTTTATGGATTTGCCAGTCTGGGTATTTCATATCAATGGAATTATACAATAGGTGGTCTTTTTGGTGGCTGGCTTCTTTCTCTTAACACGATTTTAATGTTCATCTATGTTGTGGCATGTCTCAGTGCTTCATTCTCTTGTGGATGTACCTCATTTTGTTTATACATTCATCAATTGATGAAAATTCAGATTGTTTTCCCTTTTAGGCTATTACCAGTAATGCTGCCATGCATATTCATGTGCATGTTTTTGATTGGGCATATATTTTCATTTCTTGTGGGTATTTAAGAGTGGAGTTGTTGGTCATATGGTAACTCTGACATTTTGAGTCACTGCCAAAGTGTTTTCCAAAGTGGCTGCACGACATTACGTCCCCACCAGTAGTGTGTAAGGGTCCCAGTTTCTCAGGATCCTCTCTAATACTATTGTCTTTCTGATTAGCCATCGATCCGAGTGAGTGTGAAGTGATAGCTCTTGTGATTTTGATTTGCATTTTCCTAATAACTAATGATGCTGAGCATCTTTTTATGTGCTTATTTGCCATTTATGTATTTGCTTTGGAGAAATGTTATACCAATCCTTTGCCCATTTTTAAGAGTTCTTTATGTGTTCTGTGTCAAAGTCCCTTATCAGACATATGATTTAAAAATATTTTCTCCCATTCTGTGTTGTCCTTTAACTTGATAGTATCATTTGTAGCACAAAGTATTTAATTTTGTTGCAGTCTAGTTTCATCATTTTTTCTTTAAAATGTTTGGTATCGTATCTTAGTAACCATTGCCACAAAGAGTTATTCCTCTGTAAGTCTTCTAAGAGTTTATAATTTTTGCTCTTACCTTTAAGCCTGTGACCCATTTTGAGTTAATTTTTGTATATGGTGTGAGGTAGGGGTCCAGCTTCATTTTCTTTACATGTGGATATCCAGTTGTTCCAGCACCAATCATTTAAAAGATGATTCTTTTGCCATTGAATTGTGTTGATCTCTTGTCAAAAGTGAGTTGACCGTATATTTAAGAGTTCACTTCTAGACTTTCAATTCTTTACCATTGATCTATGTACCTGTCCTTATGCCGGTACTACAGTATCTTCATTTCTGTAACTTAATAGTAAATTTTGAAATCAGAAGGTGTGAGTCCTCCAAATTTGTACTTCTTTTTCCAGATTGTTTTGATGATTCTGGATTCCTTGAATTTCCATACTAATTTTATGATTAACTTGCCAATTTCTGCAAAGAAACCAGCTGGGGTTTTTGATAGGTATTGCACACACTGAATCTGTAGATCAATTTGGAGAGTATTGCCATCTTAACATTATCGAGTCTTCCAATCCATGAATGTTAGATGTCTTCTTATATTTATATATTCTTTGAATTTTCCCCATAATGTTTTGTAGTGCAATGGTGTGCAATGCTTACACTTTTTTTGTTAAATTTATTCCCAGTTGTTTTATTCTTTTTTATGCTATTATAAATAGAATTGTTTTTCTTAAAAAAATTTTTTAATGTTTATTTATTTTTGAGAAAGAGAGAGAGCGTGAGTGGGGTAGGGACAGAGAGAGAGGGAGACACAGAATCTGAAATAGGCTCCAGACTCTGAGCTGTCAGCACAGAGCCCGATGTGGGGCTTGAACTCACGAACCATGAAATCATGACCTGAGCCAAAGTCGGACACTTAACCAAATGAGCTCCCCAGGCGCCCCAGAATTATTTTTCTTAATTTCACATTTAGATTGCTAACTGCTAGTGTATGGAAATACAATTGATTTTTTTTTAATGCTTATTTTTGAGAGAGAGAGCATGTAAGGGCAGAGAGAGAGAGAGAATCCCAAGTAGTTTCCAGGTTGTCAGCGCAGAGCCTGATGCAGGGCTCCATCTCACGAACTATGAGATCATGACCTGAGCCGAAATTAAGATTCAGATGCTTAACAGACTGAGCCACCCAGGCACCCCTACAATTAATTTTTGCTAGTCTTGTATCCTGCAACATTATTTGAAGTTGCTTATTATAATACCTTTATAGTAGGTTCCTTAGGATTTTTTATATACAACATCATGCCATCTGTAGCTTCTTTATTTCATTTTCTTGCTTAATTGCCTTGGCTAGAATCTCTAGTACAATGTTGAAAAAAAGTGGTAAGAGCAAACATCCTTGTCTTGTTTCTGTTTTTAGAGGAGAAACTTTCAGCTTTTCAACGTGAAATGTTGGATATTTTGTAGATGTCCTTTATTAGATTGAGGAAGCTCCCATTTATTCCCAGTTTGTTGAATATTTTTATTATGTAAGTCTCTTGAATATTGTCAAATTCCTTTTCTGCATCTATTAAGATGGTACCTGGGTTTTTCAGATGTTAAACCAACCTAGTATTCCTGGGATTTTTGGGTCCATATTCACAAGGGATATTGATCTGTAGTTTCTTTTCTTGTTATATACCTTTGTCTGATTTGGGTAGCAGGGTAATATTAGCCTTATAGAATGAATTTGGAAGTGTTCTTTTCTGTTCTTTGGAAGAGTTTGTGAAAGATTAGTGTTCTTTAAATGTTTGGTAGAATTCACCCATTGTGCCATCTGGACCTATCCTTTTCTTTCTAGGAAGTTTTGAAATTACTAATTCAATTTATTTGCTTGTTAAGGGTCTGTTCAGATTTCCTGTTTCTTCTTGAGTCCAATTTGGGAGTTTCTGTCTTTCTAGGACTATACCCATTTCACCTAAGCTATCTAAATTTTTGTCATCCAGTTGTTCATAGAGTTCCTTTATATCTTTTTTATTTTTGTAAGGTTGGTGATGATGTCCTTTTTTCCATTCCTGGTTTTATTCATTTTATCTTTTCTCTTTTTTTTTCTTAATTAGCTAAAAGTTTGTCAGTTTTACTTACCTATTGCCCACTTTTAAAATTGCTTCAACAGAAAGAGTTTATTTCCTTTTTCTTTTTTTTTTAGGGTTGATTTCTTTATCCCAGGAGTCTCTGTGGTTGGTGGGTTCTCAATATGCTCCAGCCCCAGACTGCTAAAACAAGAGAGGATGATAGAATTGGCAGTGAAATATGCGAACCACCCCCCTGCTGTCTGGATTCACAATCAGGTGAGCAAACCTGTTTAAACTTGGAGATCTGGGCATCACTGCTTCCCACAAAGTTGGTGTTCAGCTCACTTCATGCACTTAAGAAACCTAGGCTTGAGTGAAAAGGGTGCATGCTCACAAAGAGCCCCTATATCCACAATTCAGACTCCATGATGGTCAAAGAAGCAGAATCCTTTTGATGCATTAAGGAAGAAGACTGATAATATCTTCTGGGTTACCAGTGTTGAGTTGAACACTCTTTAGTACTGAAATATTTTATGTCTTATGTAAGTTTTTGAAAGTTGCCTCTGTATATATGTCTCGTAAATGGTACATCTATAAGTCAGATTATTTTTTCCTAACTGTCCTAAACAAAGGGAATTAAACCATCACTCTCTCATTTGGAAAGGAAACAATTTCTGATTGCATCCCGCTCGTGCTCAGAGCTGAGTGCTGCTGAATCTGTGGTGTTATTGCCTTTCTGGAAAGTTCCTCACACGTGATTCTGAGAGGGAATCCACATTTGCTGCTAATAACTGCTGTTTTACCATGGGACTCAGCACAATCCTACAGAAGCTGCCTGCTCATTACCTTCTAGAACTCTGGTAACAAAGAATGAGCTCAGCACAGATTAGTTGTCTTCTTAGTTTTTGACCCTTCTCTCCTTTTTACCACCATCCCTTTTGTTTCTGGACTGTGCCTTCTATATTTACCAACAACCTCCATCCCATCCCAGGCCTTTTCTTATCACCTTTTCCAAAAAGGAATGTACCAGTATAAATATTGTAGCTGTAGATAAACTGATTTTAGCAGTTATTGGAAGGGCAGAGGGACCAGAAGAGCTAAAACAGTTTTGAAAAAGAATAAAGTGGGAAGAATCACATTGCTCAAATTTAAGGTGAAAATAAAGCTACAGTAATGAAAACAGTGTGGTATTGGTGAAGGGACAGACACATAAATTGATGGAACAGAATAAAGAGTTCAGAAATAGACCAACATACATATGGCCATTTGAGTTTTGACGAAAGTGCTGAAGAAATTCAGTGGCAAAAGAGTAACCTTTTCAACATGTAGAGACGGGACTGTTATTTATCCGTATGTGAAAAAAAGAAAAAGAACTTTGACCTAAATGTCATACTTTATGTTGAAAATTCACCCAAAATAGGTTGTAGATCTAAGTGGAAAACACAAAACTATAAAAATTTCGGGGGAAAACTTAGGAAATATTCTGAACTTGAGGGTGGACAAAGTGTTCTTAGGCAGGACACCAAAAGCAAGAGCCATAAAAGAAGAGGTTGATGTATAGGACTTAATCAAAACTAAAAACATTTTTCTGCAAAAGATACTGTTAACAGAATTTAAAAAAAAAACAAAACAAGCTACAGACTCAGAGAAAGTTATTTGCACGTTAGATATCCAAGAAAGGATCTGTAATATCCAGAATACATAAAGAGCTCTCAAAAGTCAGCAAAAAGAAAACAAGCATAATTTAAAAATAGGCAGAAGATTGAAAGGTACTTCTCTAAAAGGATGTAAGATGGCAAATAAGCAATGACCAGATGTTCACCCTCATTAGGGAAATGCAGATTAAAACCGTATATAGCACGGTGTCTCTACACACCTCCTAGAATGACGAAAGTTAAAAATTCTGACAATACCAAGTGCTGGTAAGGATGTGGAGTGACTGGAAGTCTCTTGTATTGCTCAGATTGCTAGCAGGAATGGAAGGTAATACAGCCAATCTGGAAAACATTTGGTAGTTTTGTATGGAATTAAATATGCACTTATCATAAGTCCTAGTAATACTGCTCCTGGGTGTTTATTCTAGAGAAATGAAAGCTCTGTTCATTTAAAAGCCTGTATAGGAACATCTATCGTTGTTCTATTCATAATTATCAAAATCTGGAAACAACCTAAATGTTTCTCAGCGGGTGAGTGAATAAACGAACTGTGATCCATTCATAACAATGTATTGTTATTCAGCAATAAAAATGGATGAACTATTGATGCTCTCCCCTTGGGTGAGGCTCAAAGGCCACATGTAAAGTGAAAAGAGCCAGTTCTCAAAGGTTACGTACTCCATAATCCCATTTTTGTCACACTCTGGAAGACAAAGATACAATGATGGAAAACAGATGAGTGGTTAACAGGGGTGAGGGGTAGGGAAAGGTGTGAGCATAGAGAGCACAGGGAGGTTTTGAGGGTGATGGAGCTGTTCTGTATCTTGGTTTTGGTGGTAGTTACGTAGATCTACGTATGTGTTAAAATTCATAGAGCTATACTCCCCCCACCCAAAAAAAAATGTGTTACTGTAAGGTAATTAAAAAGAAAAAGATATAGGAGCATAAGAAATAGCTGTTCTAATTAGGGTCTGCATGTCAAGTTGTATCTGTTCAGAGTAAGGCAGCTGCTTGCCTTAGCATTTCCATTCTAAGTGTATCCTGTCACATTTTTACCCTCTGACCTTCTGAGTCACTCCTTCCATGTGTCCTCAGCTGCTGCATTCCCTTTTAGATTCGCTTTGGATTTTCCACCCATGGCTGTCTGTAGGCTGCATCCTGAGTCTCTAAAAGATGCCATGGGGGTGGAACCAGCAAGGTTTCCATGTGTCCCACACTCAGTGTTAAAATGAGCTTAGCCATCCTGGCTCCTAGTTCTATGAGTCCCCTCCAGTGATCAGCCTCCCACGTGACTTGACCTGGTCCTGGTCCACAGCTCCCTGCTTGGTTTCATGCCTCATTGACATTTCAAAGAAGGAACTTACGCTTAGAGGCGGTAGAAAATCTCCAAGTGGCATTGCTTGAATGCACATTTTAATTGTAGTGCCTGCTCCACTCTGCCCGGTGGGAGTTGCAAACAGCCTTTATGAAGTCAGATTTTTCTTGGAACCATTCTCAGGTGGCTGTTTTCCTCCTGAGGGTTTGTCTTACGAAGCTATTAGAGTGGACAATGGAGGCACGTGAGTGTCTGGGTGGCAGCAGGCTGCTCTGTGGGGACAGGGGATAAAGTGCCATAAATGTCTTCCTTTATTTTATCTGCTTTGGCTCAGGCTCCTGGCAGGGTAAAGGGTTCTAGACAGCTATTGTGTGCTGGGCTCCAGTTGCTGTGGAAAAGTTGTTTATTTCGCAAGTAGAAAAATCTATACCCAAATTAGATACATGGCTGTGTAATTGAGGGTAACGTCCTTTTACTCGCTTACGTATTATACTGTGTAGCACTTTGAGTCTTGTGTTCATGCTACCTTGGCGGTTTTTGTTGATCAATAAAAGACAAAGATGGCTTTTCATTCTTTCCAGATGCTAGCAAATTAGAAGATAGATCTATTTAAGATTATTTTGTCACTAAGGAGATGACATGCACATTGTTTTGTTGTTGGTGCCAACTTTAGGGTTTTGAAAATACTCTGGTTTCTAAGAACAGTACCCTAAAGGCTTTGCTGTCACTACTAGTCCTACTGAAGATGACCATTGGAGAAAATGATTTCTGTCTCATTTCTTAGTCTCTCTTACATTCTTGGAAATAAAGAGAAACGTGTATAGGCAAGCAGGATGGGGAGGGAGGGTACAAAGAGATTAAATCTGTCGTCATTAGGCAGAGCCTCTCGTATCACAGCTTCTCTTTTTGAGACTTGGAAAGAAGGGGCATTTTAAAGCACTTTGGTGGCCACTGTAGTGATTCCTAGATTGTACTTATTCCTAACAGAATGCTCCCTTGCTGCTAATTTCTTTTGTCAAAAATGAAAACCCACTTACCGTTCTTCATGTAAAAATGGCCTATGTATTTAAAATTGTTCAGTTCAGATGTTTTTTCTGAGAAAGGATTTCCCTTCATTTAATCGTTCTTTACTTTCCAGAAAGGAACCTCTTTAGTGAATTAAAATAATTTTCATTTTTTCTTAGATTTCTCAAAGATTAACTCTTAAGATTTAACATCTTTCCGTTGTAAAGCCCCAAATTCAATTCATGTCAAAAAGTACTTAGCTGCCTACCTGCCATGTAAGGTGCCAAGGAGTGAATGCTGAGGGTTTGGTCTTTTAAAAGCACATGATAACTTACTGCTTCTTAGGAGGGTGTTCATTCAGTTGATCTGCATCAGGAACATGTAATGGAGCGAAGCTTTGCTTTTGATATAAATTTCTTTAGTTCTAGACTCTCGTTTTTAGGGAAGAAGGAAGCAGGCACCCTCAGTGCTTTCTCTTCTGTGACGGCTGCAATGACTAAAACACCCTCTCATAATAGAACCTGATGCCAGCAAGCTCTTCCCCATGGTGTGTCATATGACGGCCACCACAGCCCTGTGAAGTGAGTAGGACAGGTGCTGGTACCCATTTAACAGACGTGGTAGCAGAGGCTCAGAAAAATTAAGCAACTTGATGGACTTCATAGACTGTGATTAAGATTCAGTCTTCTGGCTCCTAGATGAGTGCATTTTCTCCAAACTAGAAGTCTCAACCCTGTCAGATCCAATGCCCTCTTTGTAGAACTATCCTGAGATGAAATTCAAAGTTAGTGTAATCAACACATGAAAAATTTTGGGGTGCCATAATTCTCTAAGTGTAATGCCAAGGAGAAATAAAAGTGATTCATGGGGTGCCTGGGTGGCTCAGTTGGTTAAGCATCTAACTCTTGATCTCAGCTCAGGTCTTGATCTCAGGGTCGTGAGTTCAAGCCCTGCACTGGGCTCCATGCTGGGTATGAAGCCTACTTAAAGAAAAAGAAAAGTGATTCACAATCAGAGCCTATATGTTTCTTTATATTTTTTTTATTTTGAGAGAGAGTGAGAGAGAGAGAGAGAGAGCGCGCGCGCGAGCGAACACAAGTGGGGTAGGGCAGAGAGAGAGGGGACGGATGATCTGAAGCGGGCTCTGTGCTGAGAGCAGAGAGCCCAAGCGGGGCTGGAACTCACAAACCACAAGATCATGACCTGAGCTGAAGTCAGATGCTTAATCAACTGAGCCACCCAGGTGCCCCTGTGTGTTTAAGTGTATGAATGGTTGGGCATATCTTAACTAGAAGAACAAAGTAGGCAGATGGTTATTCCTCAGTGTGGAATCACCATGAGTACACCCTCTACAGATGCAGATTGTAAGATTCTTTATGGTGACAGAAGCATCACACATGCATGTTACCAACTGGGATGTGGTTTTCCAGAACAGTGAACATACTTGGTAAAGTTCTGGATACAGCAAAGCACAATCCACATGATGGTTACATTCTGGAAAATTCAGACGCCACTAGATACGTGCAAAAAATGCTTTGTGTTTTTTGTAAAATGAGTTAGGATCTAGTCTCAGATTATTATGAACCAGTTTTCACCTACATGTACATCCCATGGGCCATTCACAAGTTTCTGCACGGCAGTCCTGGGCATTGGAGATAATGATGTGCTGCTAGATCGGCTCTCTGAGTACAAAAGCCCTCATTTGCAGCATTTGCTGATTTCTGTGCTGCAGATACTCCCTCAATGGCCGATTTCAAACAACCAGTAGAAACTAGTCCATGAAATTCCTCAAAATTTAACCATCAGCTGAACAGAAGCCGGCTCGAGGACATCGCTAACTTCACAAGACATCTAACACCTTTGGCCCTGCCCTCTGACTGCCAGTTGGGTTTTCTAAACCATGGTGACGATAAGGAAGTGTCACCACGTGTTTCCATAACACCCCGTCAGGGGCAGGATCACCTCCATGGAGAACCAGTACATTCAGCTCTTATCGTATTTCTGGTCTAAGTGGCCTCACCAAATAGGCGCTCTACCTGGGTGGGGTGGCTGTCTGTGGTGCTCCCCTCCTAGTGTGAATCCTCTGCTGTCTATTCTTACCTCTCCAGGGAAGAGCGGACAGTACTGACCAGCATCTCAGGGCTGGCCTCGAGCCTGTGCAACAGCTCTGGCTGTGCCCTGCTGGTGACCCGGAGGAAGCCCCCCGGTCCCCAGGGTCTTCTCTTATGAGCCCAGGGCAGCCGCAGCATAGTGACACTTGCTCCATCCTGCCTGTGTCAGCTCCATGACTTGGATCAGAAAACAGGAGTGCCGCAGAGAAAAGGGGACTCGTGCTTCAGAGCCGTCCCCTGAGCCCAGTGCCTTTTTCCACAACCCAGCTCTTCACCTAAGAAGTTAACAAATGGCAAAATTACTGACGCGAGTCTTCTTTTGTCCGTACTGGAGTGGCTGTGCAGTGTGGATCACAGAGGCAGAGTAGCAAATGGCCTTGTATAATGGACAAGTGGAATCAGTTCACAGGGCCCTGGCACAATTGAGAGCTGGCTGTGAAAATAGTCCTAAACACTGATAAACATGCAGAAGGTAGACACAGTCTGTGTTATTAAAGAAGAGCATTAGATTTAAGACCTGTGCCACAAAGGACTAACGGATCTTTTCTTTCCTGCCCTAGTGTACCCTTGACTCTGAAGTGGCCGTGAGAGTGGGTGGAGAGTTCTTCTTTGACCCTCAGCCTGCAGATGCCTCTAGAAACCTGGTGTTGATTGCAGGAGGAGTCGGAATTAACCCTCTGCTGTCCATCCTGCGGCACGCGGCAGACCTCCACAGAGACCGGGCGAACAAAGGAAGCGGCTATGAGGTCGGAACGATAAAGCTCTTCTACAGTGCAAAAAATACCAGTGAACTCCTGTTTAAGGTAAGGAAGAAACATATGTCTCGTCGCTTGCTGTGAGCAAACTCGTGTCATGGTATTAGTCGTCCATGGAACTTTCTTCCATTAGTTCTGTCTTCTCTGCAACCGTTGTCCCACCAAAAGCCTTGACAAGGCTTTATCATGTTCAGATGGGAATTAACCAACACTTTTTATGCCGGACAGTGAAACAGCTAGTGTTGAGGACGCGCCTACTGAAGTGACAGGCCTAGGGCAGGTTTGTGGGCTTGAATCTGGAGGCGGATGAACAGAAAAGTCGCCACATCCCTGAGATTCCGTCGAGTCAGGAGACCTACAACTGGGCTCGTGTGTTACAGGAGTAGGTGAGAGGCACAGAGTTTAGACCCGCTGGGTAAATGAAACCCCTGTCGGTTCCATCTGTTGAAACTAAGTACGTTTGACAGGAGAAGGCTTTCACTCTGGATTGCTTTGCAGCTGCGGGATGAACAAAAGAACAGAAACAGTTAAAAGACACAACTGTGGTCAGTGAAACTGCTGCTTAATTGCCGATGCTTGAGAAAAAGGAAGAAGAAAAAACTCCCGGAGAGTTAGTAATATGCTTGTTAGCATATTCAGATTTCAATTAAAGCCAAATAGCCCTCTGTACTCTGAATGCTCTGGCCTGCTAGGCTGCAGACAATACCTCTCTAAGTAGAGAGGAAGAGTGGCAGACGTGTGCAGAATGGGAGTCGAGGTTCAGCGGCAGGGGTTGTGCACATCTGTTTTGATTTTTTAAAATTGTAGCGTGACCAAATATGTTTGACATTCCAGCAAAATATCCTCGATTTAGTAAATGAATTTCCTGAGAAGATTGCGTGCAGTTTGCATGTTACCAAACAGACTACACAAATCAGTGCAGAACTGCAGCCATACATCACGGGTGAGTCCCCTGAAGATATTTTGACTATCTCCACGTGGTTGTTTGGAGGACATGCCAGTCGGTCGAGTGTGGATGCTTTACCGTTGGGAGTTGCTGCCTAGGAATGTCACTACCTGGGGAGCTGGGGGGTGACTCATCATGGAAAAGTAAGGACAGATTCAGTGAGATTTACTTACTATATACAGGTTTCTTACTGCCCATGTTAAAAATTTATTTTCCACATTTTTTAAGGGGACCTTTGCGTCATCGCTGTAGTATGCCTACAAAGAATTTATATTCCAGCTTTGACTGAATGGATGCCATTTGCCATTCATGGTCATTTAAACTACTCGTGGTTTCCCCTGCCTGGAAAGATTTTTCACCAGTTTATTTACTTTGCCGAAGTGAGTTCTGAATCTCTACCAAAGATTAGTAAGCTAACTGGCCCTGTCTGAAGAGTGCATTATGACGAGCTTCCCACTTTGCCTGCCGGAAACCTAGAGATGCACTCTCTGCTTGGGTCTGGCGCCCGGTGCTACCGCCAGGAGCCATAGTGTGAGGGCCTCAGCACTAGACTCCCTGAGCTGGAGTTCCTGGAAACGGACACAGTTGCTGAGTGGTAGTTAGTCCTTCCTCATTTCGGTACAAGCATGTCTGGCTTATTTGCTGTTGATTCTGGTTTTTTTTTTTTTTTGTTTGTTTTTTTGTTTTTTTTGGTAGAAGGAAGAATAACGGAGAAGGAGATAAGAGATCATATTTCAAAAGAGACTTTGTTCTATATTTGTGGCCCACCTCCAATGACAGACTTTTTCTCCAAGCAACTGGAAAACAGCCATGTTCCCAAAGAACACATTTGCTTTGAGAAGTGGTGGTAGGGAGCAGGCAAAGGTAGAAGAGAGAAAGCTGTGAAATCTTCTCAGGACAGTAACAGAGACATGATTTGTGGCACCATGAATTTACCTCTCCTCAGCGGTTTTTTTTTTTGTTTTGTTTTCTTTTTTCTTTTTTTTTCCAAGGCTGAACTAAGTAAGTGACCAGCTGGAGCATCAAAGAAAAACCAGCCGACAGACTTCAATGATAAACTTTTTGCCAAGACTTCATTGATTAAATTATTTTTGCTATTTTGAGTTTCTTGTATTAATAACTGTTTGATTATCTCATGATGCATTTTGAATCGGTCAATATAGATGTTCTTTCCTCTTAGGGAAAAAAGAGACTATCCTTAAACTTAATCATATAAAAATGTTCTGTGTGTAAGATATAGGTTGTCCTTATTTGGTAGCAACCTATATATCTTATGTCCAATAAACTTATAATTTAAACACATTCTTATTAATCTTACCTTGAAAATTCTTTATATTTAAGGTCTTAGTTCACCTTACTACAAGCCTGAAGGCTTGTTTCTTCAGACCATCAAAATTGGGGTTGGAAATGGAAAATTATTAGGAAAACTTCTTTAGGGAATTGAATATCTGGCATGTTCGCTTAGTGTTAATGAATGTCCTAAGTATGTATCCTGACTAATTGTTAGTTTCTCCTCAAATTAAATCCTTTTCTGTGCTCTGCGTCTTGGCTGCCTGCCTTAACACTACATGTAGGAGGCGGCTTCTTGTTTGGGACAAAGGCGTCGGTGACTGCTGGATTCCATGTTGAATCTTGCCTTCAATGGCCAGGCTGGCTGGCTGTAAAAATGTGGTGCTGAGGATTGATTAGGGAGTATAGAGCCATTTCCAAATCCTGCTTTTCTGCCTTTTATTTAATTTCTTTGCCAGGGTTGTTCTTGGCACCAATAATAGCTCCACGATACATACTTGTTGAATGACTGAAAGAAAGCAGCTAACACTTAGCTCCTTGCTAAGCCTGGGTTGGGAGGCAGTCCCCAGGATGGACGGAGAGAACGGTGGAGCCTCATCGCAAGGCTGCTCTAATGAAACTGCTAGAAAGCAGACTGCTCTTCGTATCTTCATTTAGATCTTTAAAAGGCCAGAAGAAGTCCATAGGTTGAGGCCAGGCCATTCTTCTTGTGACACAGTGTTGGGCCCAAGGCTACCAGCTTGGAGAATACTGTGAGGGTAAAAGGGGTCTGGGAAGAAAGGAAGATCAGTTCTGGAGACACAGGAGTTCCAGTTGGAATTCTGTTCCTGAGCTGATGGAACAGCTGATGGGGAAAGACATCTTGCTCTTTGTCATCTCTGTGGCTACAGGCCTCATGGGGAATTTGGGCTTAAACACATCATTGATTTATGGGGCCTGATGATGGCTGGCATCTTTATTGTGGACTCTTCCCTGTTTTGAATTTTGTCAAGTTTTTAAATTTTTTTGTTTTTATTTTCTGAGAGCGAGAGCAGGGAAGGGGCAGAGAGAGAAGGAGAGAGAGAATCCCAAGCAGGCTCCACACTGTCAGTGCCGAGTCCGATGCAGGGCCCGAACCCACAAACCACGAGACCATGATCTGGGCCGAAATCAAGAGCTAGATACTTAACCGACTGAGTCACCCAAGTGCCCTGAATTTTGTCACGTTTTAAGCAAAGATCATCTGTCAGCTATTTCAATCCCACATTCAAGTTCAGCAGGAAGAAAGGGAGGCTGTTGACTTGATGGGAATTTCAAAGTCTGCTCAAGGCAGTGATTATCCCTGCATTTCATAGGTGAGGGGAGGGAATATGAGACGCTCTGGCTGCAGTAAGGAGCCCTGACTCCTCAATTGGTCCCCAAGTGCCCAGGCCCATGGGCTGGGCTTTAGGGCTGAGTACTCAAGAGGCACAGGAGCGCGGCGCACTGAGATTCAGGGATGTGGGAGCAGCAGTGGGCTCTTGTGCCAACTGGCAAAGGCAGCTGGCAGGGACGGGGACACAAAGGTATAGAGAAAGTGGCCGCCCCAGGCTTTTCTGCGTTGGGAATGGAGGCGCAGGGCAAGCCTCTTCACAGCGCGAGATGTGCGCAGAGGGTGGTGCCTCCCACCGCCTCTGTCCACCCGCCGCCACAGCCTGTCTGCCTGCTGTTGTGACAGAGCAAGGGCCACCTGTCCTGCCCACCACCCTGCCAGTCGACGTCACCATCCGTAACCTCTCTAGACAGGCCAGGTCATGACCTCTGCCTGGATCGTAGTCCCTTCCAGCTCTGTCGTTTCTGGCTCTGAGTGCCGGACAGTATTTCTGGTCTGCTGGCCAAGACTGGTCTGTTGCCCTCGTTTGCCAGGCTAGTCAAGATCTCTTTGGTACTCAGACTGAACTAAGCCAGGGGGGCTTGAATTTATAGTGTGGAGGCTGAGAGTGTAGACTGGAGAGAGCCCTGGAGTCCCACTGCTTGCTAGATGGATGACCTTGAGTGAGTCACTCAAGTGTGTCACGCCTCAGTTTATAATTCCACCACGTGTGCACACACTTGCTACTACATGTAAAGTAGAATCCTACGTACCTCCCAGGACTGTCACGGGGATTAAATGTGATAATACGTATAAAGTGCTTGGCAGAGCACTGCTTGAGTGTGTTAGTAATTTGCTACTCCTTGTCTTATTCCAAAAGGATTTCAAGAGGCCGGATGGCTTAGGTTTAGTCCACTAACCTTTAACCTATGTGCGGGTAGGGCCCTGTCTCGTTCCGCACTATGCTTGGCACATAACAGGTGCTTAGTAAATATTTCTTCCATGGGTGAAAGGGAGTGCCCAAGCTGATGAGCTGTGTTAAAGGAATTTTTTTTTAATGTTTGTTTATTTATTTATTTTGAGAGAGAGAGAAGGGGAGAGAAAGAATCCCAAGGAGGCTCCGTGCTGTCAGCACAGAGCCTGATGTGGGGCTCAGTCCCACAAACCGTGAGATCATGACCTGAGCTGAAATCAACAGATTTCAGATGTGGAACCGACTGGGCCCCCGGCCTCCCCTACAGGGATTCTTAAAGATCATTCGAGCCTAATTAGTTTGTGAAAAGATGTTGCTTTTAGTGATATGAGACCCTTCTACAGTCTATATCAGAGAGAGGTGAAGCTGATGTAGGAGTCTTTCTCAAATTTGAAGTGTTGGTATGAGCACCAGCACTTACCAGGAAATGGATCAAATACTTGGTCTTTCCCAAATGGTCTGCTGTCCCTCACCAGTAGGTGTGTGCAGATGGGCATGGAGCTCTGAGATAAAGATGTTCCCTGGAGCCCTGGTTCTGGTCGGTAGCCCCTACTTTGAAAATCGTATTGTAAAAATTATGAAAGACAGAACGGATGCTTGATTCTTGCCCTGTATTTATCAGTTAGTCTAATATGAGTTGGTGCCCTAGCAACCTCCAAAACTGGTCACCGGTGAGATTTTTAAAAGTATCAATATGAACTCATCGCTTTTTGAACGTTTGATTGTGTCTATCGTGGCCAGATTTTTGCTGTTCAGCTTGTTTTGGGGTGGCCCCTGCTATGTTAGTTGTGGGGGTTGCTGATGTTTGCATCTCTGATGGCTCTCGGAGTTGCAAACAGTGCTCTAATAAACGTGAAGGAAGAAAAGGAGATCAGTGTGGCGTCAGGACACGACGTGAAGAAAGTGTTTCAAGGAGGACAGACTGGCCAGCTGTGTCATGTTGCCGGTAGGACGGGAAAGGTGAGTTCTGACGAGCGACCGTTGATTTAGCAACTGGAAGGTCCCTGGTGATCTTGACAAGATGGATGTTAAGAAAAAAAACGTGGGGGTGCCTGGGTGGCTCAGTCGGTTGAGCGTCTGACTTCGGCTCAGGTCACGATCCCCCACTTTGTGGGTTCGAGCCTCGCGTCGGGCTCTGTGTTGACAGCTCAGAGCCTGGAGCCTGTTTCGGATTCTGTGTCTCCCTCTCTCTGCCCCTTCCCCGCTCATGCTCTGTCTCTCTCTGTCTCTCAAAAATAAATAAACGTTAAAAAATTTTTTTAATAAAAAAGAAAAAAAAAAAACATGTGAAGAAGGAAAACCTATTGTAGTGGTTTCCTTTCCACAACTGGGAGGAAAGAAATTGTAATGAATGAGGATAGATAATAGTTTCAAAGAGTTTTACTATGAAGGGGAAAAAAAAGATAGGAAAGGCAAGTAGAGTCCATAGAACTCACCCCACCACCGCCTTTCTTTTTACTCCTTTTCAAAATTTTGTTTTGTTTTAAAACTTTTTCTTTTGAAATAACTTTAGATTTACAGAAGAGCTACAAAGGGTTCCCGTATACCTTTTACCCAGCTTCCCCAAATACCGTCTTATAGAACCATGGTGTATTTATCAAAGCTAAGAAGTCAACAACAGTACAGTTAGGTTGGTACAGTGCTATAAACCAAGCCATAGTTAGTTTTGTTTTTTTTAAGGTGAGAGAAATAACAGCCTGAAAAACTATGAAAGAATCATTCAGTGGGATACCACTTGGGATGGTGAGGTGACAGCTTTTTCTGGAGGGTGAGAAGTTAACTAAGTGTGATTTATTGAGCACCTAGTATGTGCAGTCACTGTGCTAGAGATTGTAGATAGGAAAATATAAGGTTATCCTGAGCAAGTTAAGTATTTGGAAAACTGAAAGTAGAAATGCTTTGGAGGGCAAAATGGTTTATTTGCAAGTGTTGCCAATCAAAAGGGAAGCTATAGAAGGTGGCTAGCTGGACAGGTCACTGGAGGTGTGGGTGGAGCTATGGGAAGGGTTGTGCCCACACTCTGGGGACCGTGCTTGGGAGAGCTGTTACACAGGACGCAGAGCTGCTGCAGGTGTGTTCACATATGCTGTGTGAGCAGCAATATGTATGCACAAGCCCAGTGATCGCCCAGCATCACGCACCTCTGTCGGAGAGGTTTTTTTTTTTTTCTTTCTTTCTGATTGGAAAACAGCAATTTCCTTCATTCCTGGGTACTGCGGATGATCGTATGCTGATAATTTAACCTGAGCACTGTTATT